ATCATTAGGACCTTCAAATACCTACGCCTTAAAATAGTCAACTTTTTAGATATCACCTTCAACCTCCCTAATGAGACTTTTAAGCCCTTCCATAAAGTTGATCAGACACCCTTATGCATCAATGTCCACTCTAATCACCTGAAATCTGTAATAGATCACATGACCCAATCTATAAATACTAGAATAAATAGGCTATCTTCTAGCCAGAAAATCTTTAATGAAAATAAATTTACATACAACCAGGCTCTCAAAAATAGTGGTTTTAAACAGGAATTAAACTATGACGAAGAACTAGAAAATCATAGTAATAATAGTTCTAAAAACAGAAAGAGGAAGTAATATAGTTTAACCCACCGTATTGCAAGCTTTCCAACTTTAATATAGGAAGTTTCTTCCAAAGGTTAATAGACAAGGACTTTCATAGTAAACATCCACTATATAAAATTTTCAATAGGAAGACACTGCTTATTAGTTATTCATGTGTAAGTAATATGGATAAAATTATATCTTCCCACAATTGTAAAATACTTAAGAATTGCCATAGTAGTGAAACTCAATCTAGGAGTCCCACCTGCAATTGTAGGAGTACAGCTAATGGTCCAATCGGGGGAAAATGTATGTTTTCATTCGGTTTTTCCAGTTACGAGTCCTTTTTTAAAGCTGATCGTCTTGTGTTCATTTTGCTTAGTTCTTTGTTCGTAACAGATTTAATGTTTAGTATAGAGATTAGAAAAAAATCGCAGTGTGAGATAGGCAAGAAGTAAAGCATGTAGCAACATCAGCACGACAAAGGGCTAAAATATTTTAAGTCAAGTGATAGCGATTGCTGTATGAGTCGTACTATTTTTTAATCAAGCACAGGCAACGCCGGGCCATGCTGCTAGTATATATATATATATATATATATATATATATATATATATATATATTAAAGGTTATTATTATATATATTACTTAAAATTTATTATGAAACTGTATATTTATTTACCTATTTATTTTCGCCTACCGGCCTGAATATTCGAGAGTATTGCCCAGCATATTTATATTTAATAAGATTTCTCTAATATCCTGGCCGGTAGACGAAAATAAATAAATATGCTGTTTAATAAATAAACAGAGCGTCTACTTAAATGTGGGCATCCACTGAAATAACGTTTAAGTGATAAAATCTATCGGTTTAATAAATAAAATATCCATCACCTTCTACTTAGAAAATAGAGTTGTCTTATGTCTGTGTATATTCAGTAAGGATCATCACAGTTAAATACATAAAAAAGAAACTTTGGATAATGCAGCCAAAGAAAAATCTATTAAACGTAGTGTGAAAATTATATTTTATTATTTGTTTCAATGGGAAGAATACAAAATTAACATAGTTTTGCTAAATAGTTTTCTAAAACTCCGTTCTCGTTTTAAATTTCAAACATAAGAAGCGAGATTTCGGAAAATTTGCACCTAATAAGCTTTAGCAAGTGTAGCCTGAAGAATAGATATTGAATATGCAAATATCTAATGCACAGTTTATAGTCGTGTTGAAATGATTAGAAAGGTTTCTGGCGGCTTTTTCACCAAATCTTTGCAAGAAAATCGATTCATACACGCCTTCAAAAGAAAAAAGAAAAGAAAACTTACACCTTACCTTAAAATTTGAGAAAAAACCCAAAACGGAGACGATAAATTAATAGATTGAAAAGACGTGAGCCAAATGAAAACTACGTTTCTCATTGGCTTAAAGCAATAACCGCCATTCTGAATGTTGTACTTCGAATAACAGTTAAGGACAAAATGGAATCTGACCCTTTGATTGGCCAAAACAACAATAGTAAGAATAAACAAATTCAAATTGGTCAAAATTCATGCATAGAAAGGAATACACCGATCGCACTTGAGTAGGCAAATCTTATTTACATTTCTCGCAATCATGCAGAATCTATTACAGAATGCTAGTCGAAAAATGATAGCTTTCGGCTGCGTTCATGGGAGAGAAAATCTGATATCATAGATATTTCTCTGTGTTCATAATAGACCTCACTGAGGAAGCATTCTGATGCGCATTATGTACAGAAATAACTGAGTGAATATCGGTGTTTTTAGCGAGTGTGTCTCCGATAAACTTGTCAAGAAAGCCCCTGTAATAATGTTTAATATTTTTATCACTTAAACGTTATTTTTTACTGGATACCCACCTAGGGGATCGCAGGTTTGAATCTTGTCGAAGGACGCACATTTTGCAAAAATATTTCTCAAATGGTCAGACCGGTAGATGAAAATAAACATACTGTTTAATGAATAAACGGAGCGTCTACTTAAATGTGAGTATCCATTAGAAATAACGTTTAAGTAATAAATATTATATATATAGACAAATATGTCCTGATTAATATCCTATAATATTGTGTGTATATAACTATATATATATATATATGTATATATATAAATGTATATCTATCTATCTATCTATCTATCTATCTATCTATATATATATATATATATATATATATATATATATATGTGTGTGTGTGTGTGTGTGTATGTATATAAATAAAAAGAAAGAACAGTAAGCTACATAATCCGGTGTTCTTATAGATATTTTTATTTTTACAAAATAGTGCTCAATGTAAATTTACAGAGCATTAATATTATAAATTAATTGATTTAAAATATGTTTTTTCGCTACACAGTTCTAACCATGTTTCAAAAATGGAAGCTAGTTTCCATTTTTGAAACATGGTTAGAACTGTTAAAAAAAAACATTTTAAATCAATTAATTTATTATATATATATATATATATATATATATATATATTAAACCGTTTTCTCAGATCAATGATTAAAAATTGCTTCAAGCGTATAGTTTCTTTTCTCGCACTTCTCGTCCGTGCCCCTCCCTTCTGATTTATTGCTTTTCTGCCATCTATAATCTTAAAAATTTAAATGCAATGTCAATCACCGTCCTTTGTCTTCCTTCGTTGTCCTTTCTCTTTAGTAAAGCCTTCTTATTCTCTTTCTATCCCTATAAGTAAATAGCAAAACCCCCATCACTTCGACACCACCACCTGGAGTGACAAAAAAATTGTTTGCCATATGTAATTAGAAATTAGAAAAAGAATAATGGTAAAATCAAGATATTAACTTTCCACACTAGAAAATGTTTAATGTAAAACTCCCATCAATTTTATAATGAGCGATAACAGTGTATGTATGCGAATTCTAAATTCCTGAAAGACTATTTTAACAAAAAAAAAAAAAAGATTTCATAAATTCCAACCGACACTAACTATACGGTAAATGAATGCCGAATGTTTTCTGTGGGGGAACGGTTAATTTTGCCATAACCATGAATATCGGTGGAAAGAAGTTGAGAATTCACGACCTTCAAAAGCTGTTTATAAAATTGAACCTATTTTTCTTTTCTTTTTTTTTTTGTTCTTTAGCTTCAAGATATTCTTCGATTGAATTTCCGGTGATTGCGTACGCAATTTCTCTGATGCACACAAGGTTTCTTGTCTTGACATAACCACTTAACAAAATAATTCAATGTCACCAGCAAGTATCGACTTGTTTTATCATTTACTTTGGTTTGTTGGCAACTGAATGGTTCCATAGGCGAAGATTCATAGATTTCTTTTGGAATTCTTTCACACGAGACTAACTAACGGCTAATGAATAACCAAATTAAAGATTTTACGTAATAGCGGCGTCGTACCTCAGGTAACACATCTTCCCGTATCTAGATTACAGATGCGAACAGTGACAGAAAACAGGTTAACAAACAGTATTCGTAAATCAACGTTGCTTGTCAGAGAAAACAAACAAACAATTAGCAGGAACCGCGGGCAGTGAGAACTAAGCAAATTCAACATTGAGTGAGAAAGTAATAGAGTTAGTCATGTTTCATTAGTTGCTGAGGTAAGTTTACTGTCAGATTCTTTATACTAAAGGCTCGAGTGTAATTCAAGATAGAGGGTTATTGTTAAAATTGGTTAGAATGAATAAGCTGGAATAAGATTGAAAAAGGGAGTGGTTGAGAAGTGAAGATTATGAGGATAAGGAGAACAGATAACGATTGATGAAAGTTGATTATCTATTTGTGTTTTACGGCTTATCAACCCTTTGTGGGTTATTTAAAACCGAAACATATATTTCTATTACAGGGATAATTTTTTTTCACAAGTTTTAGAGTATAACAATTTTTTATCCAGATACAAATCAACCCATAGCTAAGAGTAGAAACGTGAAGATTGAGCAACTCTAGCTCAAATGTGGCAGTAATACATCATTTTTGGTCTAATCTGAATCTTGTAAAGATAAATCATGACAGAAAGAATTAGTAACTTCCTCTTTAGCGATAGATCGTATAGAGGAGTTCCACATGATGTCTGGCATTTAAAAATGGTTTGTGAATGTTCGCTGGAAGATTTAGCACTTCCCATCGACCTTCATACACTAACCGGATTTAATGATTGCGTAAAATCTTTTAGATATACCATAGCTGGAGATTTTGTGTAACGATCAACTTAAGCCATACCGTCTCAAAAGCCTTTGAGATATCTAAGTCAATCGCTCAGGTGATGAATCAGGCATTTCAATGATTCTGAAAGCGATGGCAGTTGAAACATCAGCATTTGAGCTAGAAAAGCGAAACTCATACAGTCCGTCGGTCAGGATGTTGTTTCGGCTGAGGTGATCAATTTACTTTCTTTTTCATCGTAGACTCAAAGAGTTTTCTAAAGGCACCAATGAGGAGGATGGGGATGATAATGTAATGGAGATGAATGTCCATAAGCATTCTTGAAAACAGGGAAGTAACTGGCAATTTCTACAGATTAAAGAAACATTTCTTTTCTGGATAGCCTCAAGATTGGGATAATTTTGTCATTCTTAAAGTTCCTTAAATACAACAACAGGGATTTCATCTGGATTAATCAGTCATTGTCAGTTGGTGGAAATAGAAAGTGGATGTAAGTAGTTTGCCCATATTTGGTAAATAGAACGCAGACGGACATATTACATTGAAACACCGATTCCCGTACGATGAGCGAAGTTAAGTAACATCGAGCCTGGTCAGTACCTAGAAGACTGACCGCTTGGGAAGACCACGTGATGTAAACTTGGATGTGCGGGTGATGTAATGGATAATGGCTCGGAATTGTTAAGCCAAATTCAAGTTTCAGTCTGGTTAATTATATTCACTGATATAAAATGAATGGATTGTATCGGGAGAGAGCTATAGCAGAAATTTTTATTCTACTTTTTGTATTTCCCCCATTATGCGCATTATTATTTCCGCGATATAATAATAGCGTAGTTCACGGATGAGACGGAATGGCTGAAAGAAAAAAAGAATGACAAACTTGCTTTGTTCTCAGAGAAACTTTTATATTACTAAGACATACCGAAAACTATATATACATATATACACATACGCAGAGAATAATATATCACGTATGTCTACACAGCAAATCAGAGTTCAAAAAGAAACAAAACGAATGGGTTTTACATATAATATGGAGATACTCCTGTATCTAGAGAAGCCATGATTTTGATTTCAGAATCAAACGGGCCGGATTCATCTATGTTCCAGACGAAGAGATATTCTACAATCGCAAAATAGCGAGTCTTGAGTTTTCGAAAATTGAGGACAGAAAGTTGGAGTTTCTTTCCCTATATGAGAAAGATATATTCCAAAAGGTAAACGGCACTATGGACTTGTAAGCTACTGGGGTGGCAGATTTAGCCTCCGTTCGAGCCATGAGGAGCCCGGGATAAACAAAGCAAACTTTACTTTTGGCTGCTGTAAAATACTGAATTTCCTGTCGCTTTCATTACTATATGGAGTGACATCACTAAGCGGTCCGTCACGTGACCCATGTGCTATCTCCTACAAAATTGATCACTCTATAATAAATTCTGTAACAATCGTTTAATCTCAATGAACACAGATTTGCTTTGACTGAAAGTCGAAAAAATGAATAAACTCTAAACATTAATATTAAATTAGGCAAGATGCTCCCTGCCGGACGACAGAAGCTTTATATATAGGTTTCCTTTTGACAAAAATATTGATTTCATTATTTCGTCTTGTTTTGTTGTAAATCGATCGTCGGTAGTTCTTCGAAAACAATAAGCTTTTTGTTTTAATTTAATTTATTCATTGGAAATCGATGTTTCCAATTTCAAATGTGTGGGAGCGTATTAAATCCGTAGTTTGAAAAGTAATTCTTAAACTTTTATTTGAATTTGTCATTTTATAGTGTAAGAACTCTACAATTAATATTTACCACGGAATTAAGTGCATTGACAAGACCTTTTACTGCGAAATGAATATTTATCGTGAAAATAAATCCTTTTATTTTAACATGTATCAGTGGAATTATTCATACAACTCAGCGTTTACCTTGCTATGGCAGCTTATGTGAAAAGTTTAAAGAATTTTGTTTTATTATCCTTCTTATACGTAATATTCTATCCGATTATTTATAATTATAAACCGGTAAGAAGAATATGTACTTTTTCTTACAAACCTTTTTCTTGTGTCCTCTTTCTTTCTTTCTTTCTTTCTTTCTTTCTTTCTTTCTATATATATATATATATATATATATATATATTTAAACATTTTTATTCATAGTCACATTTTTTATTTTTGAAGTAGCTGCCACAAAACAATGTCCTCTATAAGCTCTATGGGATCATAGCTTATAAGAATTTGTGCTTCGTAGGTCATAATTTTTAGTAGATGTTCAATAAAGACGTCATGTTAAAATTAAAGTTTTTTTAGTCGAATTCCATAGCCCATGATGTATTATCTACAGCAGCTGTAGATGTTTCTATGACAATATAGCTAGACAGAGATCATCCGCTTTCAGACTGGTTTTGAATTCAGATATTTCTGTCTCCGAGATTAATTGCCACTTCATGATGGTGAAGAAGAGATGTATTCATGCCCCGTTCATAAGGTTATTTGTGCAAGGGTGAATGCAAAGAATATGATCGGAATTTGAATGCGGTTACCGAAGTTTTCATTCCGAGTTGCTAACCACGACTTACACATTCTTGTTTTGTTTAGGATTCTTTAAATGAGGATAGGTGGTATTTAGGTGGTAGCTACATTAAAGTAGGATTTGAGAGGTAGAACAAGAACTTTCCGACCCTGAGAAGTGTGCACTCGTGCCAGGAGGAGGCCCACCGTTTAACTCGAGGCAAGTGTACCTTCTATCGTGAATGTCAGATTGCTCTCAAGTTCCTTTTACGGGCGACAGATGACCTCTCCGACGTCCCGTAAAGCATTATATCAGGGGGTCTAACGAATCTGGAGGCTCGATCAATATGGCCTTGCGATCCTGGGTGGAAACTCCTCACTACCCATAAGGTATCACTCACCTGACTGGTGTTACGAAAGTATTTTGTATAGTTTATTAGGGTCATTGATTGTGGCTATCATAGTTAGATAGATAAGATAAGACAGATTGATGACCAGCCTTCCTCGTGCACACATATATAAATAAATATCATTTGAGTAGTAATTGATTTACTCAGTTTTTTTCGTTCTACGTATGAGCATTTCAAAAAAACACTTCTTTGTTTCCTCTACCTAGTTTTCTGTCCTTTCAATACTCTCTCTAACTACAGCCTTCCTAATTCTCGGCTATACAAAATTAAAGGAAGAGGTGTGAAACGTGGAGTATGTTTAAAAAATAAATGTTCAGACAAGGAAGAATTGTTATCCAAGCCATCGACTTATCACTGTAGTACGGCACATCTTTACCTAAGGTCAAAACTAAAAAAAAAAACCCCAAAAACTCAACATCGGTTTTTGTTTTAAACACCAGCCATTTATTTCAGGATTTAACATATAAAAAAAGGCAGAATGTGTGTGTGTGTGTGCGTTCATTTATATGTTTGAGCGGATCTTCTACATTTTTCAACCGATTTCAACCAAATTTGACACAGTTACTGATAATGGTCCTGCAGAGGTTTTGACGGCGCCAAAAATTGATTTAAGTCAATATTTAAATCAATATTATCGATTTTTCATTTCTGATCGAACGCACGCATGTGTAATTATGTGCGTTCAATGCACACAATGGGCACTTTTCATGTCAGAATTAATAGCGGTAGTATAATTAGAAAAAAAGTCGGATTTAAGTGCTTACATGGGAAAATAAGAAAGAACAAGAATGGCCATATTTTAGTTTCGGATGCAAAAGTTATCACGATGAAGGATTTCTGTTGCAGCCGGACATTTGCGTTCCAAAGCCAATCGGATCAGTGTTATTAGTCACGCGTGGCTCGCGCGATGCGTAATGCTCGCTGCTGATTGGTCCATTCACGCTAAGCGGTCATGCGAGATCATTTGTAAAAGGGGCGTGTCACGCGTGCGCGCATCAAGCATCTCAAATGAGGTAGAGCTTTCAGGTAGCCTATATTTATTTCAGGATTTAACCCTCATACCATGGTTTTTAAAAAAGGATATTTTAATGTTTCAATGCAGGCATGCATTAATTTCCATGTTTTCTGCATTTGTACAGTAAAGTAAACGTCAAGGCCATTTTAAAATGGGATTTACAGAGCCACGTGTTAAATTTTACCAGAAAAATCAGTAAAAACAAGGTGAAACTGCTGCTTTTTAGGTGTTTTTATCCGATTTATCCTACTGAAGCATAGGATTGAATTCAGTGAGCAATCGCTAACACATTTCATGTCACTTCACGCCACCACTTTTAAGTCAAGTGGACAGAATCGGCTCCGTCCAATTTGTCCAATTTTTCACATTTGATGGCATTTTTTCATTCGAGGGGACACCGGGGGGGACTGTTATGTATTTTCATGCCGCTTACGTGCAGCCAGAGGCATCTACTCGCTATAATTTTTCTACTGCACGTCCCTGCCCAAAAAAGTTCTCGCACGTTTTCACGTGCTACTTAAATGCCTTCATCATCCATCAGTAAACGAAATTAACATTGCTTCAAATTTTGTTCGTAAGAAGTTTAAAAACGCTTGTATTTTCAACTTTTGATCAATAAAACTACCTCATATCTCCTGGCTGCTCAAAATTTTCAAGGAAAAATGAAGCTTGAAAATCCCATTTTCTGATTGGCTGACATTGAGAGACTGCACTACATTGGTGACAACGTAAATAAAAAAGGCAATGCCTATTTTGGGATGAGGAACTACATAGCTTTCATATCTATCAATAAAAAACCCGATGTAATAAAGTGGCCAGATACTATTTTGAAACGACATCCGTTACTATGCACTGCTTTGACTAACCCAGCTGGAGGTTAACCAATCGCGTCAACTCGTCAAGGTTGCTGCGAGCTCATTGGCACGGTTGCAAGCGTTTAACCTTGGGCCCATCCAATCATATGCGCGAGCAGTTCTCTTACGCACGCGTGTGCACGTGCGTACGTACGTCACCTTAGTATGTGGGTACAAGGTTAACCGGCCAACCGCCTCTTTATACCATAACTCGCACGCCTGTTCATACTTCTGCGATTAATGTCTCGCACTTGGCTCACTTCATTCACTTCTTACGGAAACCGCAAAATGTTGATTACGTATCCAAACTGTTTTTTTTTTTACTTCTTAGTTATAACTACGTCCGTTTCCGCGTTTATCGAATTTACTTCCCAAATTGCCTACTACCGTTTTAGCTTTAGTTGAATTTTTTAAACTTCACTTTTTTGTCTTCGATCCCCTTTTGATAGAGTAAGATACATTTTGGGGACTCCTCTGGCCTGACTACATTTAGACTACACGTACTTTTTGCACTCAAAAAACCTGCATACTTTTTTTTATTACGTTTGCCTTTTTCAGATTGGTTAATATGCCGCCTAAGAGAAGAAATTTTTTGGTCAGCGCACGGCTGCTGCCTCCGCTACAAGAGCAGTAAGGGTAAGGGAAATCACAGAGCAAACTTTGTTGCGCCTTTCTCAAATGGCCTCATGCTCTGTTGCCCGCATCGCCACGGAAAGTACCGCTGAATGGACTGAAAGGCTGGCATCAATAGCATCAGTTATGTCATCACGACGCGCTACACTTTCAACTGAAGAGCGTTTAGTACAGAATTCACAGGAAGCAATACGCGTTTCTAAGGCGAGGGCTTCCGAGTTCCCAACACAGACAATCCTTCGGCGTTTAAGGAATACCAACGCTACAGCGTGTTCTAGAGCTTTAGAAAGCCCTGAAAAAACCACTTCGTGTCGTCTTAGAAATGCTAGGTCTACGGCATCTTCCATGATTTCGGAACAACCTCAACAAACCGCTATTCGTCATTTAAGAAATGCTAGTGCTACTGCTTCTGCCAGAGTTTTAGAAAGTCCTGTGCAGTCCGCTAATCGTCTTTTGAAGAATTCCAGATCTACTGCATCTGCCAGAGCTTCAGAAAACCCTGGGGTACGGCGAGCACGGCTCAACAACAATGGCCAAATGGCAAAGACAGACGCTCAGCATCGCGGGTCTGCATTTAGGTGAACAATGTTTCGCCCATGGACAGCTTTACGTAGGCTGCTTCTGAGTCGTGAGTAAGGATAACGTTTACGATTACTCTCCAATAAACAAAGCTAAAAATATTACCTACGCAGAAGTCCTATAGCCCGTGGTGGGTCGCATTTAAATGCAATGTACACGTCTTTATGCGAGTTGCATCGTAGGTTCCTTCATTTTTGAACCCGGGTTATTTAAGGTCGTCGTAGTATCCAGTTGCCATTACTAAGAAATTTCATTAAAGGTTGTCTTGCTCACCAGATGTTCCCTTATCACTTAAACCCGACCATAGCTGCATTTGCACTTACATGTCGACCACGTAACCATATTCAGTTGCAACACAAAACCAATACGTGGGAAGTTGGATTCCGTTTAATTGTCAGAGAAGTCGAGTGCGTCCACGCAATTCAGGCCTCAGCAAAAAGAAGTGGGATAATAAAAGAATAGCAGCATGCAGAGTTATAATATGCATTCTCTGCCGTACACCGTTGGTGTGTTTCTCCCCTTACCATAAGGGCTGATTTAGCTAACGCTACGTGCGCTTCATGCTCGCCTCAACTGGCTATTAAAACCTACAAAAATAATTGTGCCACTTACAAGTACTCGTCGCGGCACCTTCCTATACTTCTGTTATGTGGTTCTGTTTGCGGTAGTGGCAGCGCTGTCTTTTGGGCAAAAGATGCGTCTACCTTTCACTCTATTGCGCTTTACTAAATTGCAACTGGCACAGGGCTTCATGTAATGTCTTGCACTCAGGAATAATAAAACCATCCCATCGGAATACAAAGCCATTTGCCACAACTCACCAAAAACTTCCTAAGGCCCGTGTTCGTATTGAACTTGAAAACTTTTAATTGGAGGTATCTTAGTAATGGCAAACGGCTGATACTACCATGGCTGTCCATTGCTTCCTTTTAAGACTTAGAATTTTTTCTTCCGTTGTGCTGATGAATATCGACAACTTGTGTACATTACGTTTTTTACGTGGGAGGACATCAGTTCTATTTGACTTCAGCCTTACATGCGTGTACAAAATGAGTATAGCGGTTATGACCTTCCATTCAGAGGAAGTTTACTCCCGGGCAACGCCGGATTTTACTGCTAGTTTCCTATTATTTTTCTTTTCTTTCCAAGGTTTATATATATTAAAATGGAACAATACGATATATAACTTTTTAGAAGTCATACTGCTTTAATTAAAAGAGAAATCATTTTACTGAGGCGAAAGTGTATAGAAAGTACTTTAATCGTTAGATCATCCAAAGTGAACGCGCGTCTAGCCTTTTATAATATTTTAACTTTCTTTGCAGATCTGCTATTATCACAATGTAGGATATTTCATAATAAATGATAAAATCAAAACAAAAGCATAAAAAAAACTAACTGAAAATTTTTTTACCCAGACTCATCTAAAAAATTAAAAATATCAGCAATCTAACATTTTTTTTATTTATGCATAATTATAATTGTAATGACAACATCAATAATGTGATTACGATAATGAAAAATATTAGAACGCTGCAAGAACGATCGAGTCAGCAGAAACTGTCAACAGATCGTATATTGTGACAATTAATCAAGGAGATTTCCGAAGAAATAGGAAACATATTGCATTTTTAGGTTTTGAAAATAGATTTTTAAGAAACCTGTTAATGATCATTACAATGATAAAAGACTATGTATTAGAAAAACAAGGGAAGGACGAAAAATAAAAACTCCAAAATATCTTTGATTTCACAAAGTGACTGAGTTATCACATTTAAACTGCAAAGATTGTTATCTTTACTTTGTAATTGTTTATTTTGTAATTTGGAAATGTTAGAAAGGAATTAATAAAGAAAATAAATTACCTTAGAAAGGGGAAATTATGATTATAAGCTCTTCCCGTCCCACTAGGAAATGCTGGGATCAAGACGGATCCAGTGGGCAGTTTAAATAAATAACGTTAATCCACCTTAATCCCAGAGGAAAAAAAAAAAAAAATGTTTGCGTTTTTATATCCTACCTTTTTCTACATATATATAATTAAATTAACAAAAACTTTTTGGTCGGCGCACGACTGCTGCCTCCGTTACAAGAGCTGCAAGGGCAAGGGAAACCGCAGATCAAACTTCGTTGCACCTTTCTCAGATGGCCTCACGCTCTGCTGCCCGCATCTCCATGGAAAGTACCGCTGAACGGATTGAAAGGCTGACATCAGTAGCATCAGTTATGTCATCACGACGCGCTAAGAGCTTATAATCATATAAGCTATTCCGGTCCCACTAGCGAATGCTGGGATCAAGACGGATCCAGTGAGCAGTTTAAATAAATAACTTTAGGTGCCATGTCTCGTCCCGTTTTTGTGTTGCGAGACTGGTCACTGAAAATTCACTTTTCAGTGACCAGTCTCATATAACTTATCTTTCCACCTTAATCCCAGAGGAAAAAAAAATCTATATCCTACCTTTTTCTACATATATATATAATTACATCAACAAAAACATTATTTTAGTCGGATGAAGACTTAAAGGTCGAAACGCTGTACACAAACTTTTTTTTTAGTTTGTCCCTAATTTTCCTAATACATGAAAATTTAAAAACGAATAAAATAGTGAAAAACATATTTTAATTCGGTTCTTTTTATTCTGCCCGATTAAATATTCATCGATTGTCATCTAACACAAATCTACATCCAAAGAAAATAAATAAAAAAAACACATGGTCGTGAATGGAGCTTCATCGATTGATTTTCATATTTTTCATGAACTGGTACTACTGTATCATCAGCTTAAAGAGAAAAAGTTAGCGTTCAACAAGAAACCCGCCATTGTTTTTAATCTACTTTTTTTGAGCTGAATCACTGATCCGAGTTTTGTATGTCGTCTGTCAACTATCGATTTCCTTTTATTGGACTTCTCGAAAAACCAAACTTAATTTTGTTCTCTTTTTTGGGGACGAAATCAGGAAATAAAACCCGACAGGAGACTGGAAACCAAATTACAGAAATTTCGTCAGAGACAAAATAAGGATTCTCTCCCCCCACCCCACACACACACTCGAAACAAAATGAATGAGTAAATGAAAAGAAAAGACAAAATGAAGAAACGACACTCCTTGTGTTGGAACAAAAAGATCTTATTTTACTTTTGAAGAGATAAATTGGATTCCATTTTCTTCAGCTCTCTAACAGTTCTTAATATGAAATTTTAAAGAATCCTAATATTCAAGTCACACACATATATATATATATATATATATATATATATATATATATATATATATATATATATATATATATATATATATATATATTTATGAAATAAAGTTTATATTTTTTGAAACGGCGTCTAAATGTTGGTATATAGCCTTATTTCATCACTACGGAGAAATGTGATTCGCAACATATTCTGCTTGTTAACCAACACGAAAGGTTCTGTTAATTGAAGGATTAATACAAATGTTCTTAATTAAAAACATTATAAATAAAAGGGTAATATTTTTATTGATTTGATATTTTATGATTTATCAACCTTTTGCAGGTTATTTAAAGCCAGAATATATTTTTCGGATGATAAAAAATTTTGGGAGATAACGAGATATGTCATACTATTTAACCCATATCTGTGGTAGGTTCACACCTTTACCAAGTTTATTTTAGCGGAAGTGAATATAACGAACTTGACTGGAATTCGGCATTCCGATTCCAATTCCGAATCGTTATCCATTACACCAACTGTACACCCAGGCTTACAACGCCTAGTATTACCAAGCTGTAACCGATTTCAGTACTGATCAGGCTCAACGTTGAATAACCTCGGAGAACGGACGAGAACCGGTGTTTATACGTGCTATGGCCGTAAGGTCTCGTGCACAAAGAGTAATATTCGAAGTAATGAGACCAGTTAATCCTCTTAACTTTTATATTGTTGATGACTATCAAACACTACTGCGACTTTATTCTCTTGTCTCTGTTAGTCTGTTCCTAAATATCTCATTCTTTTCATCTCTTTCCCTCTCTCTCTACGTATCCCCTTCCCTATATTAGTCTATTCTTATCTGTCTCAACCCTTTCATACCTACCTACCTATCTATCTACCTACGTATCTATCTATCTAGCTAGCTAGCTTCACATCTATATCTCTGTCTTTATCAGTCTATACATTATCTATCTATCTATCTATCTATCTATCTATCTATCTATCTATCTATAAAAAGAATACCCGCTCGGCCCGGTGGCTAGGATCAAAGTGTAGTATCTGCGCTTTGTGAGATGCCGGGTCGGGTGTCTGTCGAACTCTCTGCTTGCAGAGAGGAACCTGGACGAAGCTCCGCCGAAGGGTAGGGTTTCGTTGGGGGAGGTTGACGGAACTGGCCCGGGTTTGGATGGTTATTTATTTTTGGCTGGGCCTACTGGCTCAGAGATACCCACATTAAAAAGGCCTTGTGCCACATTCGATCCCTATCTATCTATCTATCTATCTATCTATCTATCTATCTATCTATCTATCTATCTTCACATCTATCTCTTTGTCTTTTTCAATCTATTCATTATCTATCTATCTATCTATCTATCTATCTATCTATCTATCTATCTATCTACGTCAATCTCTTCATATCTATATATCTGACATTTAAGACTTGGGCACCTTGGCTTGGTGTAATAGTTAGCAAGCTTTTCTTGCGAAAACAGTTACAATTGAAGAGTGAGTTCGATCCTCACTGGGTACCTCGTACTTTCGGCCTGGTGCCATATCTGATGCTTAAGATTTTTTTTTTAATTATTGACTCGCAGTATCATGATCACATGTTTTTGAAGCCTGTTATACACATTGCGGACTTGTTGTTTAATAAGATTTGCTTCAGATATAAGCACCGTTCGACCAGTGTTTGTAAGGTTTTTCATACAAAAGTTCTATGATTTCTTTGTATATATATATATATATATATATATATATATATATATATATATTTCCTCCAAACGAACATGACATTTTTTATTCGTAACACATTTAGCGTCGAAAACGATGCTATATTAACTTTTTCATTGTTTTCCGTAAACAACGTTAAATAATGTTCCCTTTTTTGAAATTCACAACCTATGTTCATTTCGTCTTAAGCTGTGGATAATACATACTTTCTCATGAGGTAATTTACCGATGGAAGAATCCCCAGCGCCCTATATATACATGTTGGTGCTAATCTCTAGACATTGCCACACAAGATATTAAAAAAAAATCCTTCATCGTTTTTATGGCGAAATTTCATTCAATGGAGTAAAATGTAAAACTTGAAAGTTTTCATCCTAAAATGTTGCACAAAATACATCCGCAACTTTATCTCTGTGGAAAGCGTATTTGCGAAACTTAAAATCAGTCCTAATATAAGACCTTTGAACATTTCTTTATCTTGACAATTGCCTCTATTTTTGATATTGAACAGTTTCATTAACAGAATCTGCTCGATTTTTGTTAGGCGTAATAATCTATATATATATATTTTATTATATATATATATATATATATATATATATATATATATATATATATATATATATATATATATATATATATATATATATATATATATATATATATATATATATATATATATATATATATAACCGGAGGTGTAATGGATAGCGGCTTGGTTTTGAGGAATCGGTGAGCCGAGTTCGATTTCAGTCGAATCCATTACATTCACTTACCACTATTACCCTTGGGAAAGGTATGAATCCTCTTCTTCTCCACCCTCCAGCTATGGGTAAATAGCAGGACAGACTGGGCTCTATAATTATAGTTTTATGGTGTGCTATATCTATCCTGGATAGAGCGTATGTAAATATAAAGGTAGACATTGGGATAAACAACAAGCATCGACAGTCTGTTTCATGCTTCAAAATAATCACCAGGTCAAAACAATATAACAAGACATTGTACAATCATCAGATAACGAAGAAAAATATACTTAGGTGTAGGTAAAGGACCCTGGAAACGAAGAAACTACACACACAAAACATCCTTTACAAATAATAAATACGCGAACAGCACAATACTTTTAAGAAAAATTAAAAGCAAAAACAAAATCACACCCAAAATATCATGGAAAATAAGGAAACATCAGCGTACAACAATCAATTCAAAAACTGTAAACTTTCTCTTGAGGAGAAAATACCTATAATTGTCTTCTCAAACACAAATTACTAAATAAACGTTCAGAACTGAACTTAAAATGCCGAAACGAAAACAAATTTTTACTACGTAACTTAAAAATCGGAAAATTAAAACGAACACAATTAAAATTAATTAAAAAAAAATAAATAAGTATAAAAATTTAATCCAAATCTATAAATAAGTAAATAAATTTAGTAAATAATAAACAAATTTACAAGTTACGACTGCACGCGTAAACACATGTAAACGTAATAATAACAATGAGCAGAAAATAACAAAACAATGAATAGTAAAGTAAAAAACAAGACTAAACTAGTCAAAAAACTGCATTCGGATCCACAATTATTTCCACTCAATAACCTCTAGAATAATTTGAAACATAACCGTTACCGCCCACTCAATAACCGTTAGATTATTATATAATATAAAATATTATTATATATCTTTTATTTTCATTTTCCAAGTAAAAGCATAATGAACAATTACGGTAATGGGTAACAACGCACAGTTTTGTATAAATACATGTATTCCTGAACAGCATATAGTTTTGTACTACTTGCACCCCTGAAGATGATCTTGGAAGAAGATCAAAAGTACTTGGGAAAGTAATATAAAAGAAATTTAAACAGCTATAACAGATTTTTCTCATTCTTTCACAACAATACACGGAAGGTTATTTTATATATATATATATATATATATATATATATATATATATATATGTGTGTGTGTGTGTGTGTGTGTGTGTGTGTGTGTATGTATGTGCCTGTGTTTTGTATTTGTTGGCTTAGTATGTGTGTAAAAGTGATCAATTATTCTGAGCAGAAATGTTTAATTTTTATATCTATTTCTAGTGTATTGTATATACTTGGCGAACACGTTGGTAAATCGAATTAATCCTTAAAAAGCAGTGTGAATCTACCAAAAGTGAGAAGCTGATTCAGAATGCGATAAAATTAAGTCTTTTTTTAATCGTGTGGCCAACAAAAAGAAAATGGGAATTTGAAAATGAAATGAAAAGAAATGATACAAACAGAATAAATATAATAAGCGTGACGACAACGATAAAGAAACTGCTAACAAAAGACTGGCGCAAAAGATGTGTAATTGCTTCTTCCAGAAGATTCGGTAATTGCTTCTTTACTATGAAATATACCGAAATAAATGTTGAAAGTAATGAGATAGATTGACACAATAACAATTCTCACTTAATAAACACCGTGTCGTAGGCATTGTTTATCTAATTAAGAATCGGACTAATGTCCACATTTGTCTATTACTGTGACACCGTTTCGGCCGTTGGAACCACCAGCCTTCTTCCTGTGCCAGTCAATCCGGGTAATCTGCAAGAAATGTCTAAGTCAAACCTTGATTGAATTTAGATATCTAGTAGATATCTCGTTTTTTTTTTTTTTTTACTTTTTTTTTTAGTACAGCTCATTTATTGCCTTTTTCCACAGAGGCTGAGTCTCTATTACCAGGTCCAGGGATCGAACTTAAAATTTCTATGGTGAGACAATAAAAATATAATAAAATTTTAAGGTACCATGTTCTATCTTCAAGATGGTACGCGAAAAATAAAGAGTTGGTTTTGGAATAATTCCTGGCTGAGTAATTGTGAGTTCAATCTCTGGTCTGGGTACTATGGACTTAAACTTATTGGAAATATGGCAAGCAATAATTAAGAAGTACTATAAAGAAGAAGAAGAAGAAAACTGAACAAGACGCGATATAGCTAGTCACAGATGACGGAACGAGGACAATCTACCCGCGGGGATTAAATAAAGTGTTCTGGCCGAAATTCCCTGAAGGTTAACCAAAATGAGAGGCACTTGAAAAAATCGGAGGGAAATCAGTTGAAACTCTGGGATAATAGAAACAAAGACAAAAAAATTGATCCGACTGCAAATAATGTAAATATTTATAACTTCTGGTTCCAGAAATTCAGACATTGTCGTGAGCAGTGTTTAAATATTAAGAGTTCTTTTAATAAAAGTTGAAATGAAAGGCAGTGATTTAAATGTTGTAGTAGTATCGTATGCAAATTAGATAGACAAGTATAAATAGAGAACAACTGGCGAAGATAGGGGTGGCTATATCTAGCAAACCCGGTTGCCATTCAGGACATGGATAACTTTACTATGACTACTACTACGCAGAGAAGTAGGCAAAACATAACAGTTGTCTTTTTAAGAAAAGAACATCCGGGAGCGTTATGTGTAAATGTGTGTATGCGTGTATTTGTGTGTGTGTGAAAAAGATTGCGGCAGTAAACACGCTGACCATATACGAAAAAGACAATTCAAGAAAGCAGCACTTCAGCAGCAAACAATCATATGTACCAAGAACATAAAATACATAATAGGCTTGAAAAGGCTCATTAACCGTGTTGAATTGAATTTACATTTTAGTGAAAATTTAGAAAAATCCCGGCGGTGAAAGATGCGAAAGTAAATACATCAGCAGTGTTATCTCGAAAGAATGCCAACTAATCGCTATTAAATCTGAGTTCCAACAAATTTTGAAAATGAGTTGGGTCTCAATAGGATTATGTTAAACTTTGATTGGTCTAAAATATTTATTTCCTTTACTGATTGGTTCTGATTAGTTAGAAAATAATACAAAACCGCCAATTCTTGTAAACTGTTATCACTTTTCTTGCAGGGAGATTATAGCTGAATCGGTGATAG